TATGTATGTTCTTTTATGTACACATATATTTAGAAGTATGTAGTGCACAAATCACGATCTTGTCGTATAAATTCATCTTAGGCGTTACTTCTATATATTTACCGCACGTTTTTAGTTATGTAAAAAATTAAAACAAAACAYCCAATAAAAACAAAAATGAATAAATATAAAAAAATCTTTCTTACTTACGACATCAATGCCAAGCTTTACAATGGAACCTTTTCAAGAGTATGCCCGTTCAACGCGCTCTCCGGTGGCTGATCACAATGATGGTGGTTCAAGAKCAAAGCCGAAAAATTACCTAGCGCATGCGAAAACACCGAAGCAAAGTTGTCTGCTTAAATGAACAAAAAGCTTCTTTATGTACACAAAATTAATTGTTTCGTTAGCGGAGAATGCTGCAAATTGACTGAATCTACGTAAAGCAATAAAATAAAACTGGCAGAGCAGCGCCGCTGGAAATGACGTATCAGAAAATCAAAACATCTCAGTAAATCTCTGCTAACCTTAGCTAAGGCCGCGCTTATAGCAGACCGATGAGCTAGTTGGGGATTTGTGATTATTGAATATTTATATATACATGTAYATATATGTGAATATGAATATATTTGCATATTTTTTTTGATTTCAATAGTAAACTTTTAGTAAAATGCCATTGACAATTTAGAAAGTTTAGTTTTTAAATAAGAAAGTATTTTCTTCGTGTTATACAATTATAACAGATGGCTCTGGTATCAAATCTCAAATCTGTAATTTTGTAAGTTATTAAAAATAGTGACCATCACTGATGGATATCTTGTTGTTCTACTAAGTACTATCTTTATAAACTATTAAGTGATGGGTGAAGGATTAGTAATGTATTTACATTTGTATGTAGCTTTATCAGAATATATTATCTAAAAAAAATTGCCTTAGTTTTAACTAGCTTTTTTATAAAAATCATTGCAAAGTAGTTTGCTTAACTTATAAAAATTAGTGAGTTGAACGTCGTAAAAAGCTACAATGAAAGTATAGTGAAATAAATTGCGGACTGACCGATATATACAGTACAAAATCAACCAGAAGTTTGAAAATCTTTCATTTAAGTAGATGGTACTATGGGAACAAACGACTTTTATAGTAAGTTACATTCTTATATCGGATACTGCTCAATATTCTGGGTAAAAGGTCAAATATATGTATTAGGGTCAACATACATATTTGATTTTATACGATTTTATATATTTTATRTGTAGTTAACGCACTTTTAGTAGATTTCCACATAATTTAAATGTATATAGAGAGTGAGCGGGGTTATATTCCGATTTCACCCGTTTTCAAATTGTCTGAAGGGATACCAAAAGGTTTTGTGTTAAGGAAATTTGGCCAATTTAACTTAAGCGGGTGGGGAGGTATGTGTATTAAACATATTAAGAAGCGGTATCACGCATTTTTATACTCTCGCAACAAAGTTGCTAAAGAGAGTATTATAGTTTTGTTCACATWACGGTTGTTTGTAAGTCCTAAAACWAAAAGAGTCAGATATAGGGTTATATAWACCAAAGTGATCAGGGTGACGAGTAGAGTTGAAATCCGGATGTCCGTCCGTCCGTCTGTCCGTCCAAGCTGTAACTTGAGTAAAAACGGAGATATCATGATGAAACTTGGTACACGTATTTCTTGGCTCCATAAGAAGGTTAAGTTCGAACATGGGCAAAATCGGCCTACTGCCACGTCCACAAAATGGCGGAAACCGAAAACCTATAAAGTGTCATAACTAAGCCATAAATAAAGATATTAAAATGAAATTTAGCATAAAGGATCGCATTAGGAAGGGGCATATTTGGACGTAATTTTTTTGGAAAAGTGGGCGTAGCCCCGCCCCCTACTAACTTTTTTGTACATATATCGAAAACTACTATAGCTATGTCAACCAAACTGTATAGAGTCGTTCCTTTTAGGCATTTCCACATACAGTTCAAAAATGGAAGAAATCGGGTAATAACCACGCCCACCTCCCATACAAAGGTTTTGTTGAAAATCACTAAAAGTGCGTTAACCGACTRACAAAAAACGTCAGAAACACTAAATTTTACGGAAGAAATTTCAGAAGGAAGCTGCATCCAGTCCAGGTTTTTTTTTAATTGAAAATGGGCGTGGCGTCGCCCACTTATGGACCAAAAACCATATCTCAGGAAGTACTCAACCGATTTCAATTAAATTCGGTATACAATATTTTCTTAACACCGTGATGACATGTATCAAATATGGATGAAATCGGTTCACAACCACGCCTGAAATCTCGATTATCACTTTATCATGCGAGAGTACAAAATGYTCGGTGAAACCCGAACTTAGCCCWTCCTTACWTGTTAATTTATCAAATCGCAGATGCTTCTATGTACCTAATGCGATTCGTTGTACTAAATGACATTTTCACATATATCATATTGTGGAACTTAATTATGGTGATTTGCGASTTTTCATTTAATGATATTTTGTGGATATGTGTTCCGAATCTGCGCCCCATTTAATTATATTCATTTTTCCACCTAAAAATTATGTACTTAGGCGTTTAATTAGAATGACTTTGGTAGAAAGCTCATATCTCTATTTTCTTSATTAACTTAATATTTTGTATWAAATTTAGCCTCTWCGGTCGAGTTAGTATCATATAWRTACATATCACTCCACCACCTGAAGGAATTTGCCGAGCTTAGATTCTTGCAAGGTGCAAGAATGTAAAATATTGGGGCGTATGCGAACTTGGTTCTTCCTTACTTGCTTTAAATGTTTTTATATTATCCATCAACTACCATTAATCGTATATATGTACATTTGCGTTAATTATTCAATAATACTTAGGGAAGCACCGATCATTTTAAACAAGTATAATATTCAGATCTAGCACACTTTTGTCAATTAGTAACTAGTTTGCTAGAAAATATGCTATCATATGCTAAAGTCAGCCCCAAAACAAGCTTAATAACTGACATTGTCAGAAAAGTTTCCTTACATAACAAAAATATGTTTTCGATTCGCCAAGAATTTGAAGAGTGGCTAAATCTACACAAATCTATCATAAAGAAACTTATATTATCACTTTTGAGCCGAAGGTCCTGGCAGCCAGTGCTCCTTTTTTCATGGAAAAGTAATTGTATTATTGTTTCACGTTTTATAAATAAATAAATAAATAAATATTATCACTTAAGTAAAGCGATTACTTAATGTAAAATTTTCGACGATGGTCAGCGCTTACCCATGTAAGAAAGGAAAAATCAAATATTTAATAACTTCATTTCAATTAAATTTGTGAAGCTAGTTAAAAATTTACAGTACTTTAATAAAATATCTTAAGTTTAGGTTTTAAAACCAAAAAGTTGCTGTTTAGAAATTATTAAAAATTTGTTCATTCGTCTAACATATTCGTCACACTGTTTCTGAATAACATTAAACTTTTGTAGTAAACAAATAGCAAAGACGAGCTATTCTGAATGCAAAATCATTGAATTTGAAATTTTGAATGTTCTCAACTTGATGAAATCATAAAATTAAGTACATATGTAAGAACATGCATATATGTAAAATGTTTGTCGATATGTGCGAACATCTCTATGCGAGCTTTTGATTTCGAGAATTGATATTTACAAATACTGGCATTCAAATTTATTTGTTTATTTATTTACAACAAATGCAAAAACCTTAAATTATTTTCGCGACGATTAGTTACTTTTAAACAAATTCATAATTAATTCTAATTGAATTTTAAAAATTCAAAGAAACATTTTATAGAAAAAATCAAATATGGTTATATGTTAATTGTGTATACGAAACAYGAAAGTAAACTGCGTCGCATTTTAAATATAAGCTTGTAAATATGCAAAAAAAAACCCAGTCAAGAATTTTTACTTCTGAAAGTATTCGTAAACATGCGCCTTCATACATTGTCGTCGCATATTTGTCGTAAAGTTGCACTTGCCATATCGCACATATGGAAAARGGTATGTTATTTTACCGGTTATCAATTAACCGCTTCCAATTTCACTTAATAAATTATTTATTGTCATTACTATTTTCCAAATTTTGCACTCACTTTTCCACTCTCTCTTTATTTCCGCAGCTCTGTTCGCTTTGCACTCTTTCACAAACAATTGAAACTTGTGTTTTTTTTTATTTGCTTTTTGTTGATTAAAGTTTTTTCAGCACAAAAGCTCAATGGGAAACGTCTTCTCTGCGCTTAAACTTGTGCACGATTGAGTCCAACAGGTATTCGGCCAGCTGTTTATAAACCCGKCAAAAGCTATGGCCACTGCCAATGGCAAAGATCTTAACCCATTGACAGACTTTGGTGCCAGCAGGTGATTAAGCGAGCGTTAAGCGGGTTGAGAAGGCTGCAACCACTCGACTGATCAGAACTAGTTTTCACTCTCTCTCGCAGTAGTAAAATTGGTTTATACTTACRCTCTTTTATTATTAGTGCAAATTTCTAAACGTTTGTATATGAATATATCAGGTTTATAAATGTATATGCTTGTATATATTTGAATAMAAGCAAAAAGCAAAAACAATAACAACTCAGAGCTCTTGGATAAATTAGATGTGCGGATTTAGAAAAAAATGTCTGTATATTATGTACCCAGTTATTTGATTTATAAATGCTGTCCTACTTTTTAAACTCCTGCAACATGTTACTATTCAGTATAATGGTTTTGTTCACCTAAACGTTGTACGTATCCCTTGAAGTAAGGAAAAATTGATATGTATAGGGTTATGTACTTATATATTGATCAATATGAAGAGACGAGTTGAAATTCGGGTGGCTTTACGGGAGCCGGTGTGAAAATTGGACGATAGGCGAGGCACCGCCAACTTTTTGGTAGAATCACATATCTCGGGACCCGACCGATCAACTTCGTTCAAATTTAGTGCATAGCATTCTTTTTATCATACAATACAATGTTAAATTCTATTTGATTATTTTACCTTCCAGTACACAAATCGAGAAGTAATTAATATATTATAAAGTATGCCGGTTCAAACTCCTAGGTACAGAATATGATTGGTGAGTATGTGAGGTACCTYAAGAAACCCAGGGAAMWTTTTTTTARATATGCGGCAGGAGAATAGTTAATCGATATACTCGGRTCGATACTACCCCAACTCCCATATACTACATATGAATAATGTTTTTCGTGTTCTAACAAACCTTATGCCAAATATGTCGGTCAGTGTATGAGTTATATATAGTATATGTAAATATAAAATTTCTTGGATTCTGATCATGTGGTTAACATTTTACATCTTAAGGTATTCCCTAACTTTGATTCTTGCAAGTTGCGAGAGTATAAAATGTGTTTAAACTTCGCCTTTTTTTACTTTTTTCGTTAAATCTGTTAAACGAGGTTGAAATTTTGTAATTTTTTCAACAAG